AAAAGAAAACTAAACAATTATTAATTTTGTTTAATATTTTTTTTAAAAAAATATAAAAAAATATTGATACATTTTTATATTTGATTATTTTTCAAAAAAAAAAGATACTAATTATTATTTTAACTGCAGAATTTAAAATTACAAGTTACAATAAATTTATAAATTTGCAAATCAAATGACTGCCAATACAATTACAAAAAACGTTTATAACTTTACAACCATTAATTCAATCATAATAAAATTTTATATGCACATATTTTTGAATTTGTTGAACAACTTTACTTATACGACCAAATTTAATTTTCTTTAACCAAAATACTTAAATTGCTCTTTGAAGTCACTATATAGATAAAAAATAAAATAAAAAAATTTGTGAGATAATATAATTATGAAAATGTGTATAACTTTACAATTATTAATCCAATCATAATAAATTTTATAAACATATATTCTTGAACCCGCTGAGCAACTTTACTTACGTGATAAAAGTCGATTTCCTTTAACTAAAGTGCTCAAATATCTCTTTAAAGTAATTGAACAGAAAAAAAATTAAAATTAATTTGTTAAATAATATAATTGCAAAAAATGTTTATAATTTAACATTTAACTTTTAATTATAATAAATTACAAAGTAATTATACAAATAACTTTATTAGAATATAAAAAAAAAGTATATTAAATAACATTAAAGATGTTTTAAAAAAAAAATAGACAAAAAATTTTTTTTAAATATTTTATTTTGTTTAATTTGATTGATTGACCTGAATTTTATCAGGTCAGATTATAAGTTTGATCCAACCTGATGTTAACCTAAAAATTTGTCTACCTGACCTGGATTTTTCAGATTGGATCAGATCAGGTCACAGGTTGACCTGACTTGATTCAGAGCTCTAATGATAATAATAAATAAGTTCTTTACCTGAAGATATTATAAGAATCAATCTAATATTAACCTTATTTCTTCCTTAGATATAGATTAATTAATGAAATCATTTATTGGTATTGATATTTAATAAAAATACAAAAATATTTATACATGTTAAATAATTAATAAAATAAACTAAACTAAATATATCTATGGAAATAAAATTGATATGTTACTAAGATATAAAGTTGACAAAAGTGATTAGTAAAATTATTATGTCAATAAAGTCACCTATTATACTAGAAATTAAATTGATATTGTTAAGCTTAATCTGTATGTTGTTAAATTAATAATTTATATTTACTAACATGAGTTTAATTACGTCTAAACTATGAAAGAAATATGTATGAATTTAATTAATTAAAGGATCAGATTGTCTTTATTAATATTTATTATTTGAAGATAATTAGTTAATTCTTAGCTTATTTACAAATCTTTATCTTAAGTTATTCTTTAACTCAAGAATAAATATATACTATTTATATAAAATAAACTAATAATAATATAATAAGACAAATATATCCAATATAATAAATAAGATAAATATAATAAATAATATATAATATAACAAATATGAGAAATCTGACAAATATAATAAATATGATAAATAAGATAAATCAGTCAAATATGACCAATTTGTTATATTTGTCAACTAAGTTAAATATTAATTTGTAGATTAATTTTGATAATTTTTTAATAATGTTAATCTTACAGTTAACAACATCTGGATTTATAATAATCTACATTGATTATCAAAGGAAATTAAATTGACATCAAGATCTACAAGATAATCTGCAAAAAAATAAAATTAACATCAAGATCTACAAGATGATCTGCAAGAAAATAAAATTGATATTAAGATCATCAAAATTTCTTTAGGTAAACTTTTACCCATCACAATATGAAAATAAATGTATTAATAAAATATTTGATTTATTTTAAAGATGTATAAATACGATTTTTAGAGATATTTATGATCAATTAGTCTTAATATAGAAATACAACATATGAAATATAAATCTTCACCTAATTATATATTTCTTTTAATAAATGGTGATTATAAATATATATGTAAACTATATAATATTTCAGGTTGGGTTTGTAAATACTTTTTCCATGTGATGTACATAACTTCAATAGCAAGGTTTTATAGTAATATAATTAATCAATATTAGTTTAATAATAAAATATATGGTAATGATCTAGGTAATAGAAATTTTATTAGATTAATCATATATGATACAATTGGATTCATAATTAACTTTTTGTAAAGTGGATTTCTATTACAATTAGTGAAATTATTGGATTATCAAAACAGAAACAAGAATTGGCTCAATTGCAAAAGCTAAACAAAGATTTACAAAAGTCTTTGAACTTGCAAAAACAATAATAATTAAAGCAATTGAGTTAGACTTAGATAAAAGTTAATTTCAATTCTTGAAAATTTTCAAGAAACAGAAATCAAACTAATGCTTACTATTAATAATACGACTTACATACAATTTGATGAATCTGAAAAGAAAAATTTTGTTGTAGATGAAAAAGTAATTCAGAGTATAGAAAAATTAATAATGTAGAATTAATGATATTTTGTTGTTTTTAAATATAAAAATGTTATGTTTCGAAATCTTAGAGAAGCGCGTAAGTTGTCCAAATACGGATAGGTGATCGTCTCGGAAACACGTGATGTTTTATTAGATAATTTATGACATTAAGTATTAAAAAAGATTGTACCAAATCATTTTCTATGAGTTAAAGTTAAACGAAATAAAAATAACTATCTTTCTTTGGCCTTAAACTTTATTATCTATACCAAAATTTTAAAGTGAATAAATAATTCATACATAATCTATTATATAAAATGTAGTAAAAATTTATTTTACGTGAAAACTCTCCCAATGCCTTGACATCCAGGGCATAATTGCTGATTAATATATAAATTTCCTTTTCCTGATCCTAAATTAGTAAAGAAATAACCAATTAAATATGTATTTTTTTTTATTTTTAAAAAAAAAAAAATTTCAATTATAAAATTACCTTGACAAATTGGACACAATCTTCCTCCAATTGAAGGATCACCGGGTCTTGCATATACTATATTACTTTGTTGTGGACGTGTTATTTGTGTAATACTATTATTAATTCCTGGTGATGAATATGTTGTAGTTCCAGTTGGATGAAACCCAAAGGATCTCCAACAATCCTTGCACATTTTTCCTGGTCCTTTATATCCCGTATTGTTACACTTTGAACAAACATAACCCGGTGGATATCGAAGAATCGATGTATTTACTTGAGAATTAATGGGAATTACAGGAATTATAGTGTTAGTGGTTGTAAAAGTGGGCCTTACGACACTATATATTACATTTCCCCCACCAGCTGAATTATTATTATGAAAATAAGCGTTGTAATTTTGTAAGGGTGGTTGATTTATATGTTGGTTAGGTGCTTGATAAATAATTTGCTGCTGTTGGGGAACACTTTGCGTTGTATTATTCTCAAAAGGTCTATTTGGTCCAAATGCCATAGATTGTTCTCCCAAGTTTGGATATTGAGTGTAAGCGGGAGGTGATTCTTCTGTTATTATATCTTGTATATTAACATTTGAACTTGATGAATGCGACATTACGAATTATTAAATAAATAAATGAGAAAATTATCTGCCAGAATAGCTAAAATTATTTATTATTTATATGTTGGATATGTTACACATTCATTAGTTGCAGATTTCTGAATAACAATGTAGATCACGTGAGCCTTATGAATCAAAATTTTTATCGTTATGACGCACGATTTTAAAAAATGAAAGTTTGACCATTCATCATATCAACAATTTTTATTTATACAAGTTCCAGAGCAACGTTTAATGGATTTAGAAATAAAAATAAGGAAGACATGAAAAGTATAAGGGAGCAATTCCGCATGAATTCTTAGGCGTGATGTTGATTAGACTGTGATGTATGATAATTTTATCTTGGAATTTTTGCCAAATTATAAGAGGCAAAATGTTTAAATGTTCTTATAGTCCATAAATATCCTGCATCAAATGAAAGGTTTAATATAAGAAACTATTTCATATTGACCTAATTATATCTAAAATTACATAACGACAATTTTAATTCGTCGCTTACAATATTCACGTATTTTTTTTCTTCGTGATAACGATCGCTTTTCATAATTTGGTGGCCCAGGTAATTTTTTTTAAAACTTTATATCTTGTTTATTTTATTAACAAAAAAAAACAAATTTATGTCATTTATCTCTTAAGTTTATATGGCCATCATTTATCAAAAGTTTTAACATTCATATATATATAATTACACATTTATTAGATCTTTACCTCATTATATCAATTTCAAAGAATTTGTATCCTCCTCATTAGAAAGGAAAGTTGACTTATTTTGACAATTATGCAACGTTAAGCTATATGGTGCAGTTATACGAATCCTCATCATCCTTTAAAGATTCGGATACAAAGAAAGATCACGAATTGCATGTCGAATCATTATTTATTATTAGAAAAGGTATTATAATTCTTTACAAATATTGTACGGTATATTCGCTGTTCTCATCATCATTATTCATATTTTCCCTTTATTTTCAATATAAATATCCAAATGCTAATATAATTATTAGGATGCTTGAATTCTTTTAAAGAAGAAATTATATAGAATGTTTACATACATTTAGAATTTTTGATAAGTATCAATGTTATTTGATTCCAAATTATGCAAAGTAAAAATAATCATAATAATTGACTCGATTTTATTAATTATTTTTCGTCAAGATTTGAATAATACTAGATGAAATAACATGTCAGGATAATGTTTATAACGTTTCCTATAAACATTTACAAAAATTATATTTCTCTAATACATCAGTAATCTGAGCCATATAAATTGTGAAATAAGATAGTTTTTTAATTCTGGATTCGGGAATCTGTTGTTATTATTGTTATCTTATACAACCTTTACTTCATCATAATAAAGATTCGTAATTTATGATTAAATATCTTGAAGAATTTATCAATACATTGATATATTTGATAGTTACGATGAATTAAATTGATCGATATTAATGATGAAATGATGTAATATCAATATTAGAATAACATACCGTAAATGTTAGTAGAAAATAAAAAAATTTCTATGATTAATTATTTTTAATTAAAGTTTACTTTAAGAATTAATAAACAAAAAAAATGTAACAAAATAAATAGAAAATATTAAATGCAAAGTGTAATTGATACAAAATGAAATAATAAAAATAATTTGATACAAATACTATTTCAAATTCTTTTTGATTTGATTAAAAAAAAAACTTTATCTATTTTAAATATATTATAATTTATCAATTATGTAGTGAATACAATATTTATATATTTATTTTGATATATGATTATAAAAAATTCTAAAATTTTTCAAATTTTCTTTTTCAATATTGATTTGTAAGCATAAATAACAAAGTCATATCAATCTTTAATATATTTATAAATTTAATATATATTTTAGAAATTCAAATTTAAAACATTAAATATTTAATAAATATTTATAAATTTTATATCTATCTGATAAATTGGATTTGAGCAAAAGTAATAAATATAAAGTTATACAGTTTACCTATTCTTCTGCTTTATATTCTATATTATGTTTCTAAATATTACATGGTAATCTTTTAAAATCTAATAGATATTCTTTTTATTATTTTATATTTGTATGCTAATTTCTTTTTAAAATAATTTAGATAAACAAAAAGAATTGAAATATATAAATTATCATCTTTAAAAAATTAATTACTTCACAATTTAAACATATGTAATACAACATTTTCAAAAAATAAATGCATAAAAATAATTTTAAAAAATCTATAGAAAGTAATTTAAAAAGAATACTCTTTTTATTTATTTTTATTAAGAAAATAAATAATTTATATATAAATTAAATATTAAAGAAATTTTATAATTATTATATTTATAATATTTTTATTAACAACTTTTTATTTTATAAGTTAATGTAACTTAATAAATAATAGCTAATTAAAATATTTTTTTTTGCATATATTTAAAAGAAAAATAAATATGCTTATTCCTTAAATTGTAGAGCAGGCAAATTTGCCTGCAAAGTTAAAAAAAAAGTGATAATTTCTTAATAAAATATTAAATATTAATTTTATTAATATCATTATTATATAAAAATTATAGTTCATATATATTTTATTAACTTTATTAATAAAGATTTTAAGTTTTTTAAAAGATTTTTAAAATAATCTAATTTTAGAATTAAGTTTCAAACAATTTTATTTAAAAATTTATATGCTTGCGTACTAATTGAATCACTTTATCATTAATTAAAGTCATAAAATTTCTTAATAAATTATAAAAATTATAATAATA